TGTCAAATTGTTGCTTAAAAAAAAACTGACAGATATCCCCACATATATTATTACAGTAAGTCTCAAAATCGGTATTGTACCAAATATAAGCACCTTTCATGCTGAAATACCATGAATGGGGTGCCATTGGATTCAGAATTTCACGGGAGGTTAGTGAATCGTATTCTCCGCTTTTGTTTTTCTTCTTAAAATAAATAAAGTCCAAACAAACATTTGCGAGGCTTCAATACTGGAACGTTGGTAAGTCTAGATCGATACGGGACAAATTGGGCTTTGAAGATTTTGATGCGTACAGCAATCTTTCGGATCTTCGGTCCTGCGTTTTTAAGCCCAAAAAATATTTTCTAGATAACGCAAGGCATAGGGTTCGCATCCACACAACCTTACGTTAATTGTAGTACTGTCATTGTCACAAATCTCAAGATTGAGTCACCAATTTTGAAGGCTTCCTTCTCCTTCAGGCGGGCAAAATAGTCCGATCACCCCGAAAATTCAGGCAAACAAGTTGTGAAAGATAAGAAAGTTTATTTGCAAATAACTAATTTTATAATAAATAATTTTCTTAAAAACGGCTAGGACGATTTTGAGAAAATTGAAAAACAAAGTGTAAAATCGACTATATAAAGTTCCACCCTCGGTTAGCCGATTTTAAAGGAAGTGTAATTATAACGTCCCAGGCATATACGAACATTTTTTTTTTTTTTATTATTTTAATGGAATTTACAACTGTATTACATAGAAAATACAATAATTAAATGTGAAATTGGTAACATGACATGTACAACATGAAGAGAAACTACCCATTGGTAGAACTCAAATACCAACATTAAATACGTAATTTCAGTTTCGTGTGACTTTTCATTTTTGAGCTAGACTGATCATATACATATACACAGACCATTTTGTGGGACTTGGTAATTTGGTGTACAATTAAGTATTCTTTTATAACAGCTAGGTTTTATTCTCATTGATGTCTCCTAATAGGGTTTGAATGCCAAATATTCGTAAAAGTTTTGTGATGCGTGCACCAGATTTTTATTTAGTTTATCAAAAAGATCTATGTAATACTTAAAGAGTTCTTAAAAATACTTTATGAATTTGATTTTGAATTAACACGTTAAGAACTTTTTTACATCTATTAATTTTACTTTAATTGATTTAAATATAAGTTTAGTCGTTAAGGTTTTAAAATATGATTCAGTGTATTTTGAACATTAAAAACCAAATTAACTTAAAGTTTTATGTGAGAAGCTTTGGTGGAACCCACTTGGGTGCAATGGCTTGCGAAATAATAACTTTTATAAAAAAAATATTTCAATTATTAAACTTCGTGAAATGCTTCATCTTATCGTCACCTATCTTTTTATCTACGAAAAGTGGGGAGTTTTCTAATTAAAGTAATTAATTTGATTAGGAACAAAGTATGCACTTGAATTTTAAGACCATTTTATCTCAAAATCGATAAAAAATATGACCTACAAAAATACTGGTCCTTTTGGCGTGATCTATATCTCCAACATGACAAAATAACGAGTTATTTAGGCTAAACGACCCAATATTTTTGTAGGCCACATTTTTTCTCGATTTTAAAATCAAATTATCTTACGATTCAACTGAAAAGCAAATGGGTGTTAATGAGTTTTTATTACCTGATCAAATAGACAAAGTTTGCCGATCTCCAGTTTGAAAACACAACATTTCCGAGACTTTTCGCAGATATATAAGTTGTAAGTCATAACGGATCCAGGATTAAATTCTGGGGGGAAAGGAGCTTCAGTTCGAAAGATTTTTTATTTTATTTACATATTAAGATAATTACTTCGGAAGAATGAAAGAAACTAAGTACCTATATGAAATGGTGTTAAAGTGATTCTTTAAGTCCTATTAAATGTAATTAGGCTAGCAATAATACTTTTAGATATAATATTTTTTCATAAAACATGGTTATATTTTACCATTTGGAGGGAGGAGGCATCAGCCCGAAAGCCTTTCTCGCCCCCTCCCTCCCGTGGATCCGTCTGTGTTGTAAGTTACGATAAGATGAAGCCATTCAAGAAGTTTTAGACCGATGCTAATAATTTGATAAAAAGGGGTCTGTACCGCGGACTAATAAACTATTAACTATAATACAATATTCCATACAATACAATATACACTATAATAATAATATAAAATAGCAAGTAATAAAATGAGAAGTAAATAACGCTCCTGCACAGTAAGTGTTAATAACAACAAAGGTGACTTCTGAAGGTGAAAACCATTATATTATATCATAGACTTTTTCACCTAAGAAAGAAAGATAAAAAAAAAATCGATTGGTCCTAGGTTGTTAGGTATCTATACTCCTATAGATACGGGTACCTTAGCTGTTTCCTTAACATTTCAAAGCAGTATTACAGTTTCTTCATGGCAGTCGTTACGGTTTGAACGGGACCTTGAAAAGAATCATCATGGTGCCAAACTTTTGTTAAGCGACTAAATTATTATTCTTGAACCAAAACTAATGTTTTAAAAAACATAATTATAACATATTGTCTCATAATTGTTGCTTGTGTTCATAAAGTCTCTTTTCGGTTCTGCTTAACGTTGTTTTAAAAACAAATTTAGAATCATCATTCTTAATTTCTCTTTTTGTTAAATAATTGATAATTTAGAAGGTCATTGTTGTTTTAATGTTAGGCTCCATAGTCATTTCAACAAATTTCTTCATAACCCCTTTTTTTTTTAGTTCATAGAAAGTTAAACATTTATTTTTTTTAAATCATCAGGTCAAAAAAATAGATACTACTGTTGATAGAGAATAAAAGAAGTTTTTAAGATTATTTGTATCCGAGGTATAGAAGAAATAAACTAAAACAAAAATTGTTAGTAATTGTTGAACTCTACTTATCACAACCTGAAATTACAAGATCTGAAAACGACCACAAGTAAACTAAACCTAGATGTCATTAAGAAGATAATTAAATTGTATACAACGCTAAATTCAAATAGTCCTCTGACTTAAAACAAAAATTAAAACCTTAATTAGACCAATATGAGGGAAGATACGGGAATTTTTTCCTGTGATGGGTCTACCACCCAGTGGCGGGTCAGGAATGTTCTGAGGGGGGGAGCAAGGGGAGGGGACTTGCGAAAAAGGTGGGTTCCAGAATTCATAACAGCAAAGGTGTGTATATATATATATATATATATATATATATATATATAAGTTATAGATGATAAAATAATTACGAGTTCCTGCCTCGATGCCGGGAGGGCTTTTAACTCTGGCATTAATCACCGCCCTCACTCTTTGGTCAATGAAAATCCTATATAGCCTAAAAGGCAGAGGAGGAGCGACCAAAAAAAAAAAGATATATACAATTATATGTATAACATATATATATGTATATATGAAAAGAAATATGGAGTAAGGATATGGTTCGAGGTGGCTGTCATAGAAAGACTAAAAATAGTGAGAAAAATATATTTTTATTTCAAGCCAACATTTCTACCCAACTTTGCTGGCATTCTTCATGGCTAAAACGAACAAGATATAAAGGATATAAAAAATGTGGAAGTTACATGATACTTAAATAAAAATTATAAACAGTGTGTATAAGCTTATTAAAATTGCAAAAAGTGTAAATAAGAATATTAAGAACAATATAAACAGAATTTACTGTAGCTAACTACTACTTTCAGCAACAATATTCAGATATTTCCCCAATAAACGCAGAATGTTTAGTACAAATATTGTAATTCGTTGTTTTGAGTACAAAGTATAAATAAAACTGATTAATTTAACACAATTCAATTTTGAATTAAAATAATAATAGTATAAGGGCCGGTTGCTTAGTTACTTTTTTTCAAGATAATTTTTTTGTCTCATCTTCAACCAACATGTAAGCAATACAAACCATTGCTAGTGTTAGGGTTATCAAGAATCAGAAAGAGGGATGCCATCTTTATCCAGCTTCGTTAAAAAGAAATTATTTAATTACTTGAATAAATATCATGGTTTTGAATACTATGTGTATGTAGATGATTTCTCTTTTTTTAATTATCAACAAAATGCATATTAATACCTATTACTTTAATCTCATTTTATTATCAAATGGAAATATATGTTGAAATATTTTTATTTAAAGAATAATAATACAATTTCCCATAATCAAGGGCATAGGTTATTATGGCTCTATATATATTGTACATTCATAATATTTATATATACAAATTTTAATACAAATTAAGAAAAAATAAACAAGAAGAAAGCATAAAATAATAAGAAAACAGAAAATACCAATAATATTTTATTGAGAAAAAAAAAATACATTTTGCCTCAATTAAAGGCATTGAGTAGTTACGATGTATGAAACACAAACATACCATATATACAATAAAAGAAAAGAAGATTATAACAAAAGAAAAGAAAAGAAACTTGGAATAACAGAATAAAGCAAACATAAGACAACATTAAATAAAAAAATTAAAAATAAATAAAAACACATTCATACATATTTACAGTCAGCCGAGGGAGCTCCGAGTAGGGCCCTTTCCCCCACGTGTGGAGGGTAATTTAACTACAACAAGACACCAACTACAACAAGAGATCCCAGCGCTTCTCTCTCAGCCGCAACATTAGGATTACAGTGACTAATTTACAATAGATAAAACAGAAAATAAGAAGAAAACAGCAAATAAGAAGAAAACTAACAGAGCGTCAATTGTTGTACAATCAAGTTCTCAATAGACTTTACATGGAAAATGGTATGAGCGGATATTTTAAAAATTATTCCATGCACGTGTCCATGGAAAGCTGCCCACTTTAGTTTGTTTTTGATTTTTGTTTGTTTATTCTTTTGGTTTTATATTATATTTACAATCTAATTAAAATATAACACACCAGCAATTGTGTACGGATCTTGGTTGGAGATCTGCTTATCACTATCATAAGGACTAATGTAGTCTCTAAGACCGCAGAAGAACAAAGTTTAAACCTAGAAGTGAAAAACTCTTACCTCTCCTAAGCCCATGAGTACCCTCAAGACAATGAGAGGCACCGCTCCCATAGAGGCTACCCAGGGCGTGAGCAGCGTGAAGAGGGCGGTGGAGAAGATGCCGAAGCCCATGGTGTGCTTGCCGCCGTAGCGCTGGGCCAGGAGTCCTCCCGGGATGTGCGTCACGATGTAGCCGTAGTAGAAGGCAGCCAGGACCAGGGACTGCGTCGACTCGTTCCAATCGTAGCCGTCCCCCGAACTCTAAGAGGACAGAATCAAAATTTGAAATAGTTGACTGTCGAGAACAAAATTAATGAGGAATTGGTTGTGATGAACAATTAACAAACCTTATTAATCCATTTTTCATTATGTTGTTACCGTTATTTTACTATTGTTTATTTCATAAGTTCTTAACTTTGTTACAATTTTTATTTATTTCACAAGTTCCTAACTCTTTTTTACTATTATGTTATATATCCTAACTTTGTTCTACATATTATTAATTTTCTACCGTTTACTGGTTAGTAATATGTATTGTTATCTTGTATTTTCTTAGCCCCGATGAAAGCCTGAACCAAGGTCGGAAAGGTCGGCAAAAATAAAAATAAATATAATTTATTTATTGTTACTTGTGATTGCTCACTTCCACTAATTCCACATCAAGTATCAACTTACATAATTATATAATAATTATTATATAACAATCGTAAACTGACATTGTTTTAGTCGGGTCACCTGATAAACCTTGTTTCTTTAATAATATTAATATAAATATTAAGTAAATACTTGGTGGTATCATTCCTTGTTTACTTGTGTAGAATTTTGCTGGCAAGAGCAGGCCATAGCCCACCTCAACGAACAAAATCTCTTCTATTTTTCTTATTATTAAGAATAATACCTTTTGAGAAACGATAATTAAAAAAAAATATTCATGGAGAAATCGCAAATCCCGATTTGAGATATGTAATAGACCTACATTAAAAATGTTGGTGCTCTGTGTTTATGCTCGACAACTTGTATTCTATAGGCTTTCTTTTAGAGAACTCATTTCCATAGCCATTTATAGAAATTTCTTTCAGTTTTTGACATATTTTATTAAAATCAGCATTTCTTTACCGCGATTTTCAAACACACCACTGAACTAAATTAGTATGTTTAGATACACGTTCAATGCGCAAATTAACGTTCTACAATTTCTTAAAACAATAGTCTTTTGTTTTGATACACCGTTGAGGTGTTATAGGTGAAAAAACACAAAAAATATCGAAAATTTTTTTTCTTTTTGTCTGTAAAAAGTTTTCCTTTGGTGACCTGCGATAGTAATTTTGGTTCTTTACATGTTTGAACCCATGCATATAAGTTTAAAAATCCCAAATTATTTACAATGTTTTCCATGCTTCAATCCTCAAGTTACTGGTCTAATATCCTTGGAATCAGGCGTCATTTTTGAAAGCTGCTATGGAATGGTAGACAAGGTTCATTTTTCTTAGAATAATATAAACTTTCGTAATTCGCATCCAAATCTTCGCCTGATCCTCAATGCTCCCTACTTTGTCACAAATAAAATCATCCATAACGACCTTGATGTTCCATATGTTTCCGATTTGGCCCAATCCAGATACCTATCCTTCCATAACAAACTGCAGAACCATCCGAACCCACTCGTTTCAAACCTTGCTTTCTCCTCGATCCCTGATAACCCTCCGAGGAGTCTGAAAAGAAGATGGTCTCGGGATCTTCTAATATAGAACTTTAATTTGAGTTCTACCAATGGGTAGTTTCTCTTCATGTTGCACATTTCATGTTGCAATGACACATTTACTTGTTGTATTTTTCATGTAATACAGTTGTAAATTTCATTAAAATAAAAAAAAAAATTAAAAAAAATCTTCGCCTGCAATAAATACTTTTTTTAGGCCTTCGCTCCTGGATTAACATATTTGATATATAATTATTTGGAAATAATGAACTATTAATTAAAGTTTTAAATTTCTGATCAGTTTTCTCAGATAAATATTAATGTAAACAATTAAATCATCAAGAATCAAGAGGAAAAAATACGACTTAAGTTGTTATCTTAAAGTCCCGTATTAGTCATGTGTTAGAATTTGGTTGAAAATAGAATGACCATCTTAGAATATTCGGAATAGCTGACAACATTCTTTGGAAAATTTATTAATCGATGGTTGCATAAGTTTTATAATTAATACATGGGGGAAGTTATGAAAGTTAACTCAATAAAGGTTATGATTAAATCAGATTTATTGGTAAGAAAATAAAAATAAAATGATGGTAGACAGTAAAAAACCTTGACCCGATCATTTGAGGCAAACCCAAACAGCATGCCTTTCTCACCAGACATCTGCACTCGGTTACTTGATTGCAATGGTCTTGATTTGGCTTGGCGCCAGTCATATTTTATTTGTCAACCAGTCTGGGAATTAGGATTTAACATTTATGATTAAAACATAACTTACATGTTTCGATGTTAAGCTATTAATTAATTTAAGACTAATAAATTAAGAAATGATTAAATATAGGTATTTAAATAACAAAGTTTTATAGTTATATCTCTATTTTTAATAACATTTTATTAAAAACTCAATCAGCTGCCAAACCCGCTTGTTAGTAGTAGCGGCCAAATCGAACAAATTTTATTTCGAATATAGCGATTAAGGATAGGTGTTTCCATACCCAATGGCAGCATAAAATTCGATCATTATAATTTACTGTAAATTACTGCCCTAAATCTGTTATCAGGAATTTAATTACATAGCCATTTTTCCAATATTGGAACAATTCAAAAGTCAATTGACATCGCCGTTTAAATTATTATTAAATTAAAGTTATCTTACAAGTTAATTAATTTAATTTAAACCTTTTTTAATATTTTTAACCAATATTCCAGATATTTCCAGTTTTACGTATTTTATCTGACACAATATCTTCTAAATTATGTTGTTCATTTTTTAAATAATCAAGAGATTGATTTGTTTATATTTGTATATAACATGACCTAAAAAATAACGGAGACAGGTTATTAGTGCTGGTTTAAATTACAAAAAAAAAATATACTATCTTCGAATTCTTTAAATTTTTTTTTTTTATTTCTTTATTGAGTATTACGACAAACTGTCTCTTGGACATTGGTTATAGTGAGGTAGGATGACATTCACACTATATGTACAAAAAAAAAAAAAAAAAAATAAATAGAAACAAAATAATAATCAAAAGTATATACAATAATTAATAAAATAAAATAACTTTAAAAATAAGAAAATTAAAACTAAGCCAAAAAAAAAACACATCCATATCTATATACAATCAGGCGAGGGAACTCCAGGAGAACCCTGCGCTACTCTCACAACCGCGTCGCGGTATCTTAATAATATAATCTTAAAATTTGTAAGATTATCTTATAGAGAGTGACAGTGTCGGCGTAAGGCTGGGGCAGCCGGGGCAATTGTCAGCGGACGAGGAGGGGCGCCTGTCGATCTTGCCTAGAAAAGAAATGGATCCTCCCGGACTACTGGGTCTCACAGATCCTCACGGGGCATGGGGGTTATATAGCGAAACTTTTTAAACATGGTAAAAACATTGATCCCTTATGCCCCACTTGTGGAGTACCTGAAACCGCTGAGCACATCCTTGTAGCCTGCACCAGCTATGAGGCACTGAGGGCCAAATTGATGAGGGAGACAGGGCTCTGCATTTCAACAGAAAGAAACTTTCCTCAGCTAATGTCTCCACAAAACTATAAACTACCCGCACTATAAAAGCTTTGTATGCGGGTGGAAAAAAGCTGTGGGCCCAACCCATTTCTCCCTGGGTCGGCGTGAAGAAGCAGCACCCGGAAGGCCGCCGCACAGTGATGCGAACCTATGCATTTGGTGGACATAGGTCCAATATCCGAAATTTCGAATTTCCTCATATTTTTTTGATTAAGCTGTTCTTCTTAGTTTCTACTATCATTTTCCATCGTCAGTTTTTTTTTTTTTTAAATTAAACATTTCTACCTAAGATATCTTGTTAAAACGACCGTCCATGGAAAATGTCCTTTTTTTAAAAAAGTACCACAACTATTTTGATGAGCCAAAATTAATGAATCATCTTTATCACGATACTTTAACTTTTTTTTTGTTTATTTAATGGAATTTACAACTATATACAAATACAACTAGTAAATATGCGCAAATATAAATAATGGCATCTACAGGCTTGAAGAGTTACTACCCAGTGGTAGCACTCTCTAAATAATTTTAAGTAAGAAGATCACGAGGCCATCTCCTTTTCAGACGCCTAGGAGGATTATCAGGAACCGAGGAAAAAGCAAGAGTGGAAGCAAGCGGATTTGGATGGGACTGAAGTTTATCATGAAAGGATAGATATCTGGCTCGAGCTAAATCAGCAACATATGGCACATTAAGGTCTTTATGAATGGTTTTATTTGTGACAAAGTATGGAGCATTAAGGATTTTAAGGAGGATTTTGGATTGTAAGGATTGGATACGATAGGAATTCGATGGTTTGGTGGAGCCCCCTTTTTAACTTTATTATCATAATTTAAGGTTATGCAGCTTGAACGTTTATAGAGTCCTAAAGTTTTTTTAATGAAAAACATAAAAAAAATCTACCTCCACAGAAATTAACTAGAAGGTTTGTAGTTTACTTTCCATTAATAATTACCTACGAGTTCGTGCAAGTTTACGAGAAAAAATTTTTTAAAAAGTTTTTTTCCTTTTAGCTCTTGTTATTTTTCAAAAGTTGTCCCTATAAATTCCAGTTTTTTGTTTTAAATGTTTGTTAATACTGCATGAACGTATAATTGTTTTTGATCCTCATGAATGAAAGTTTCATCAAAATCGTTAGAGCCGTTTTCGCGCTACAGTCTATAGAAAAACAGGTTCATCATTTATTGCGCAGCAGCTATTGCGCGTGGATCAGCCAATTTCTGTCACAGACATCAGTTGTCAAAACCCTACATAATAAAAAAAGAAGCAACAAAATCGGTTCACTAGTTCCCGAGAAAATCTTGGTACAGACAGACCAATAAAATCAGAATCAGAAAAATGTGTTTTTCGGACTCAAGGGACTCTTAAACGTATAGATCCGTCGTAAACCGCATATCGGAAATTTGACGCAATACTTTCCTTACCTAGATAGGTAGGAAAGTAAAACAGTGGATATCTATAATCATAAAACTAAACAAAGAATCGTGAATACGCTAATGGAGGTTCTACTTTAAACTTGTTATATCACCT